TGGACCCTGAGGAGGAAGAAGGCGATCCCTCTCCAAGGCCTGCTGATTTTATCCGTTGGTTGGTCATCAACAGGGCCTCGCAGTTCTGGATGGGCAACATGGAGTCCTGCCAAGTGCAACTAAGTCTTCGGTGCCCTGCTTTTGACAGAACTTCTTAAAACAAATCGCAGCCTCTGCACTGGTTACAGGTTGCGTTCAGAAGCTAGCACGATCATCGTTGCAATCTCCTGCTAGCTTCATTCGAAGCTTTTACAACAGCTTGTACTCAGCCCACTGCGCTAAAAAAAATCGGCCGCTGGCAAGGAAAGCCATGTTGACTCGAAAGATGTCACTGAAACAGCAAGATCTGCCGAAGAGACCCGAGAAGAGGGGCCAGGTGGTCTCACGGCACACTTTAGGGCCTTACTCCGGGGTTTAGGGTGTAAGGCTTTAGGGTTTCTGTGCCTGGGTTTGCTTCCTTGTCTTGAGATGTTGGAAACACGACTAGAGTTATTAGGAAACAGCCTTGGGTATGCGACCCCATAGCTTCGATACTTTAGGTTCCGGCCACGCAAGACTCGGGCTGGATGGAAACCTAATGATGCAAGTTCTTGCATCCAAGGGTGGTTTGCGCCAACCCAGCAGGGTGCCCGAAGGAGATTTCTGCGTCCCGAAAGACTTCGACTGGAAGATCCTTGTCTCGCACTCGCAGTTTTTCGATATCCGCTTTACAGGGAACAATACCTAGCCGCTACCTGGCCCCGCTTGGGCATGGAACTTCTGAACCAGCAGCGCGGGCTGATGCTTAGCGGTGGGTCATGAAGGGATGTCCGCACCTTCGACCGGAGCTTATTCGCCACCATATCAAAATTAAGCTTATCATGAAGCAACTGAACCACAAGTTCCAACCGGCTCATCAAGCAGCCAGAAACTAGAAGGACTCCACACAAGGGCCCATGACTCTAATTCATGCAAGCACATCATCCAAGCAGCCAATCAACTTATGAACAATCTTGCCATCTTTGAGTCAAGACAGTTCTTGATGACAAGGACTCCATACACAGGATTCCACTGCTAACGTTATGAGCGCCATGCAGCAGCCTAGTAAACCACAAGCACTAGGGCCCCTCAAAGCCTGTAACATCCTCAATCTCAAAGCCCCTAAACCGTAAAATCTCAAAGCTGCGTTTCCGTGTTCCAGGATGTCCACGAAGGAGAATTATGTCCAAGAGATTATTGGCCAGGCAAGGAAGCTGACGAGACGTTTGGCAAAGGTTTTTGGAGTTTTCCGGCATAATATAAGCTTAGACAGGTTTCAGATGAGAGCTATGCGACAAAGTATCGCGACTTTCGAAAGCTGTGCTTTGGCTCAATTGTTGCTGGCGAGCGGGGCTAGGGTGGTGGAGTCCATGGGCTCGTTTTGAAACATTTGCCGTGCGTGGACTAAGATCTGGATGCTCGAGTATTGCCCCCATAGCTTGCTGCTAGGATGCCGCTGAGTAACGCATATGTTGTGTGCATGAACCCAAAATGTGACAGCTGGATATGGGCCCACCGGAGGGTCAGCAGTTGGGCGTTCGCTAAGCTGGGGCTTCAGGCAGGTCCCTTA